ACAACAATGACAACTACAACCAAAAAATAGCTGGGCGTTGTGGTGGACGCCTATAATCCCAGCTACTTGAGAGGCTGAGGCAAGAGAATCGCTTGAGCCCAAGAGTTGGAAGTTGCTGTGAGTTGTGATGCCATGGCACTCTACCAAGGGTGACAGCTTGAGACTTTATCTCAAAAAAAGAGTAAGACTCTGTCTCAGAAAAATAAAGAATTTTAGGATTAAGAGCCTTTCAATATTCATTTTGATTTTAAGTAGAAGAGTTTCTGTATTAGTTACCATTTTTATTAAATATTTATTTCCAAGCATGTATTACATGTCTACTGGATTCCAAGATATGCTAGGTTCTAAGGATACAACGACAAGACATAGTCTCTGCCATAAGGAACAACAAATAGATAAATTGCCATGACAGACTCACACAGGATTCTATGAAAATTCAGAGACACTTACCTAATCAGACTGTGGGCACATTGTACAACAAGATGAGTGTCACAGAAAGTTTCCCAATAGCACCTAAGCTAAGTAAGTCTTCAATGAAAACAAGAATCAGTGGAACAGAGGGAGAAGGAAGAACTTCCAGGCAAAGGGAGAAAGCATGCACAAAAGGAATATAAACAAGAACTTGGAAGGTTCAAGAAATTGCAAACATAATCCTAAGCTAGATACAAAGACCTTGTCGCTATAAAAAATTCAAAAATTAGGCTCAGCGCCTATGGCTCACATGGCTAAGGCGCCAGCCACATACACCTAAGGTAGCGGGTTTGAATCCAGCCCTGGCCCACCAAACAACAATGACAGCTGCAACCAAAAAATAGCCGGGCGTTGTGGTGGGCGCGTGTGGTCCCAGCTACTTGGGAGGTAGAGGCAGGAGACTCGCTTGAGCCCAGGAGTTGGAGGTTGCCATGAGCTGTGATGCCACAGCACTCTACCCAGGGGGACAGCTTGAGGCTCTGTCACAAAAAAAAAAAAAATTCAAAAATTAGCTGGATGTATGGCCTGTAATGCACTTTGGGAGGCTGAGACAGAAGGGTCCTTTGAGGTCAAAAGTTCAAGATCAGCCTGAGCAATATAGATAGCCACATGTAGTAATGTGTACCTATACCCCAGCTACTTGGGAGGCTGAGGCAGGAGGATCACTTGAGTCCAGGGTTTGAGATTGTACTGAGCTATGATGACAATACTGCACCCTAGCCTGGGCAACAGAACAAGACTCTGACTCAAAAAAAAAAAAAAAAAAAAATTTGCAAACACAGTTCACCACAGTTAAAGGATGAAATAAGGGAGCAAAGTAAGGAAGAATAGCTAAGCATAAGTAACTATACTTACAAGAAATAAGATTTTTAGCTGTAGTAATTAGCCAATTTCAAATCTATAACTCCATCTAGGACCCCCTCTCCTGAGCCCCAGACTACTACATCGAACTGCCCATCAGGCATCACCCTTGAATATCCTTCAGCCACCACAAATTCAAACCCAGTCTGAACTCTCCTGTGTTAATTATGGCACTACCATTCACACAATGTCCAAGACAGTATCATTCTTGGGGCTTCTCATTCTCTCTCATCTAAATCATCCATCCATTCAAATACCAACTCCTATTAATTAAATCTCTAAATAGCTCTCAAGGCTAGCCCTGTGGCTCAGGGAGTAGGGCGCCAGTCCCATATATTGAGGGCAGTGGGTTCGAACCCAACCCTGGCCAAAAACTGCAACCAACAATAAAAATAAATAAATAAATAACTCTCAAATCTGTGTATTTCCCTCTATTTCTGCTGTTGCTCCTCTAGTTCTATATACCAAACCGCTCTAATATGAATTACAGTAAATGGATCCTAACTGGTTCTGTGTTTCTTTCTTTCTCCCCCTTCAATCCATTCTCCTAGTGCAGTGTGGTCTTTGTAGAATATAAACATATTAATTTCCTGCTCCTTACCGCTATCAAGGCAAATTCCTAGGTCTTATAAGATTGGTCTCTTTATCATTCTAAACTTACATCCGTAACATACCGTGTCTTTTCTTTTTCTTTTTTTTTTTCTCAAGACAGAGTCTCACTATGTCACCCTCAGTAGAGTGTTGCTCACAGCAATCTCAAACTCTTTGGCTTAAGTGATTCTCTTGTCTCAGCCTCCCAAGTAGCTGGGACTTCAGGAGCCTGCCACAACACCCAGCTACTTTTTTGTTGCAGTTGTCATTGTTGTTTAGCTGGCCCAGGCTGGGTTCCAACCTGCCAGCTTTGGTTTATACTGCTGGCACTGTAACCTCTGTGCTACAGGTGCTGAGCTTCTTTTCTTTTTTTGAGACAAGGTTCTCACTCTGTTGGCCTGCATAGAGTGCCATGGGGTCATCACTACTCAGCGCAACCTTAAACTCTTGCACTCAATCAATCTTCTTGCCTCTGTTTTTCTATTTTTAGTAGAGACAGGATCTCACTCTTGCTCAGGCTGGTCTTGAACTCCTGAGCTCAAGCAATCCACGTGCCTCAGCGTCCCACAGTGCTAGGATTACACCTGGCCGCCATGCTTTTTCTCATCTTCATGCCCTCTCTCATGCTGTTCTCTCTGCTTAACTTCCTCATATCCCTCTGCCCAACTCCCTCTGATGTCAACTTTTTCTTGAAAAGTAAGCCAGATCAAGTCTAGATAGGTGCTTCTCCCTTGTACACCCAATGTCCTTTATTTAACTGATTGCAACTGCCTCATTTTTCTTTTCCACAATAGCATGTGCTTCAAGAAAACAAGAACCAAGTCTCAGTTTACCATATATTCATTTAAAAAATGAAGGACTTGGCTAGGAGTCTGTGGCTCCAGTGGCTAAGGCACCGGCCACATACACCTAAGCTGGCGGGTTCGAATCCAGCCTGGGCTGCCAAACAACAATGACAGCTGCAACCAAAAAATAGCTGGGCGTTGTGGTGGGTGCCTGTAGTCCCAGCTACTTGGGAGGCAGAGGCAGGAGAATCACTTAAGCCCAGGAGTTGGAGGTTGCCATGAGCCGTGATGCCACAGCGCTCTACCCAAGGGGACAGCTTGAGACTCTGTCTCAATAAAAAAAAAAAAAAGGAAGGACTTTTAGTGGTCACTTAAAAGGTTATTAAACCATGTTTTCAGAGTTACAAATAAAGACTAGGAAGAGAAGTTCGTAAATGGGATTTCATGAAAGGTTTTCTTTGCTTTTTGGGTTTTTTTTTTTTTAAGACGGAGCCTCACTCTGTTGCCCTGGGTACGGTACTGTAGCATCACAGCTCACAGCAACCTCAAACTCTTGGGTTTAAGCGAACCTCTTGCCTCAGCCTTCCAAGCAGCTGGGACCCTGCTAGTTTTTCTATTTTTAGTAGAGACAGGGTGTAGCTCTTACTCAGGCTGGTCTTGAACTCCTGAGCTCAAGCAATCCACCTGCCTCAGCCTCTCAAAGTGGTAGGATTACAAGGCATGAACCACTGTTCCTGGCTTCATGGAAGGTTTATGGTCAGGAAAGTAACAGGAAGGTAACTAAGTAGACTGGTGAGATTCTATAATTTTGGGGCACATTTTTCTGTGAAAGGGGTGTTTAAAGATTACAGTATAACTGTCTCCCCTCACTCTACTATCCCTGAAACTGCGTTCTCTTTCTACTCACTCCCTTCACTACAACATCTATTCCTACCATTATCATTTCTACAATGATAAAATAGCCTGGCATCGTGGAGGGCTCATGTAGTCCCAGCTACTTAGGAGGCTGAGGAAGAGGACTGCTTGAGCCCAAGAGTTTGAGGTTGCTGTGCAATATGATGCTATGGCAATTTACCCATGGCAACAAAGTAAGACTGTCTCCAAAAAAAAAAAAAAAAAAAAGACTCAGCTCACATGTAATCTCTAGTAAGCCTTGCCCACTCTCTCCCAAAGGAAGGTATTTACTACCTGCCCTTTCTTCTCATGGTCCTCAATGTTTGTCAGTTAGTGATGTGTTCAGTGACTGTAATGCCAGTGAGGCTTTAGGAAAGTCATATGGGGCAGTAGTTGAATCAGAAAAAAACTTATCATGCATCCGGAAACAGAGAACAGTTAAAAATGAAAGAAAGAAGCAGAAGATGGATTAGTTTATAAATATTCTAACTTAGGAAAATTTGCACTCATTTTGTCATATATTTACTCTAGTATTCCTTTATTCATTCTTAGACAAACTATCCAGGGGGAGCTGGATACTGGAACACACTCTCGACAAAAACAGTGAAACCAGTAATCTCCAACAAGAAGTTACCTACATTAAATTCACACTACGTCAGAGAAATATGAGGGTTGGGTTTTTGTTTGGTATGGTTCAATTTTCCTGTAGCCTTCGTTAAGGTTCATTTTTATTCGATTTTGGGTAACCTGTAGTTGACTAGCCATACTCAATTTTTATATGGCAGGGCCAATCATCCGTTCAAGCCCCTCAAAAGAGTATCTGCTTTCTGACGACAGACTATAATTCTCTCAACTTTCCTCTCTTCAGAATATTCTCCATTCAAAGAACTTTCCGTGAAAGCAGTACATATCCTAACATGTGAAATCTTTCCAAGAGATTAAGTATTAAAGTTTCAGGACAAACTAGAGAACGCCGCAATCCTAAACCGAACAACTGTCACGACGGGGCAACGTAACTCCACTAGAAAAGGGACCGAAGAGAAGGGCTGGAGGAACATCGCAACTCCGGAGGCCGGCGCGAGCTGTCAGACCCCGCACCACCGTCACACACCAGCTGCCCAAGACCCACCCACCCGAACGCCACCTGAGGTGAACCTGCGGACCGGGGTACTGCTCGGGCCCCGACGCTGACAGAAAAACGTTAAGATTTTCTGAAAAGCAATGCAAACAGAGCAACCAACTCGACCAAAGACACGGAGGGACCAAGTTAAACAGGGAAATACAGCGGCTGCTGCCGACCTCCCTGCGAAGCGGTGATCACACCACTGAGGGGAGGGGTGTGTGTGTGCGAGGAACTAAGACGGCAATCGGCAGAAGGAAAAGTTGAGGACACCTAACGATTTTGTAAGAGTCCCCAAGTCAAGAAGCAGGGTCGGTATGAAGTTGCCAAGTCTTACCTCAGCGCTTGGGTGTTTAAAAGTATCTAAAAATAGCAGCTCCATCGCCGAGTCCACCGCCATGTTTGCCGCGGGCGGGGAGCGGGAAGGGACTTCCGGGGCAGCGCTCCAACCTCTGCGACATCGGCTCAGGAGAGGGGGGACCTCATAGCACTTCCGGCGGTCAGGGCGCCGGCGCCGCGAGCCTCGGCCTATCCCAGCACATCTTGCTGACCAAGTCGCCAGCCCCGCCTTCTCCAGCGCGGCGGCGGGCGCCCTCAGAACGCGGAGAGAAGCCAAGGGAAGGTGAGAAAGAACTACGGGGCCTCCTGTGGGCCAAACTTATTTACCGCGTTACAGCGCCACGACGGCCGCCAGCTGGTGGCGTGCAGAGCAAGTTGGCGGGGGCGAGGAAAGGTTGTCCCCTCTGGCTACCCGTCTCCGTACACCTTCCAAAGACCAGTTTTTTCCAGCTCCGGGAGTAAAAGATGCGGTGAGCGAGGTTGCAAAGTTAAGATTTTGTTTTGGCTCGGCGCCTGTGGCCAAGCGTCTAAGGCGCCAGCCACGATCACCTGATCTGGCGGGTTCGAATCCAGCCTGGGCCCACCAAACAACATTGACGTCTCCAACCAAAAAAAAATAGCCTGGCGTTGTGGTGGGAACCTTAGTCCCAGCTACTTGGGAGGCTGAGGCAAGAGAATCGCTTAAGCCTAGGAGTTGGAGGTTGCTGTGAGCTGTGATGGAACTGTACTCTACCAGGGCGGCAGGTTGAGGCTCTGTCTCAAAAAAAAAAAGATTTTGTTTTAAAAAGAAGAAAAGATATGGGCGGCGCCTGTGGCTCGAAAGGAGTAGGGCGCCGGCCCCATATGCCTCAGGTGGCAGGCTCAAACCCAGCCCCCGACCAAAAACTGCAAAAAAAAAAAAAGAAGAAGAAGAAGAAGAAAAGAAACTTGTCTCAACAAACGAAGAAATTTCTTTGTTTTCTCGTCTGTAAAATGTGAAGAGTAATACCTAACCCACAGAATGATTGTGAGAATTAAAATAAAACTCCAGGAATTGCATAACGTGAAATGCCATGAACTATAAGGAGAGAGAGTGAAAAGTAAGCCTCCCTACCAGGTGTTGATGTGCGTTGGACAGCTGGAACCAACACTTTGTCTTAATCGGCAGAAAGCCTTGGGAGAGCAGTTAGGAAATGGTAAAATTACATGTGCCTATCCCTCTTCGAGGAAAATTGTTGCACGAGGGCCCAAAGAAATACAGGTATAAGAATGTTCATAGCATACTTTATAGTTGGAAAAAAGCAGGAAACTTAGTTATTAACAGAAATTGTGGCGTATTTTTATGCTGGTAGGTAGAAACCATGAACTGGGGCTATGTCTTCTGGCACGGACAATGTAAAGGACATGATTAAATAACTTGAAAAATTATAGTATAAATTAACATTTATATATCTCAAAACTGTAAAATAAGATTATAGGAGCACAAGTATGTTATAAAATTATAAAGAAATGCATTAGAAGTATTAAAAATAAAATTTCAAGATCGCAGTGAGCTGGAGGGAGATGTAATGGAAAAGAACAGAGGGGCCTCAAATTTCTTTAATGTTTTATGTTTTAGGTTGGTGGTGGTTTAACAGGTGTGCCTTGCATGATCCTTTATACCTTTCTAAATGTCTGTAATATTGAATAGTTTCTTAAAATAAATCTCCCATCCACCTACATTCTTAGCTATCCAATTACCTCTGGATAATAGTTTAGCTAATAGTTCATCCCATTTACTGTTTGTGTTTTCATAGAATCAGTTCTTGAATTGATGTTTATTATTCCAACATTTTCCTATTTTCTAATTCTTCAGTTTCTGGTTTTGAATTTACTAATTCCTGGGCAGCACCTGTGGCTCAGTGGGTAGGGCTTTGGCTCCCTACATCAAGGGTGGCCTGTTCAAATCTGGCCCTGGCCAAACTGCAACAAAAAATAGCTGGACATTGCCGTGAGCACCTGTAGTCCCAGTTTCTCTGGAGGCTGAGGCAAGGGAATCGCCTAAGCCCAAGAGCTGGAAGTTGCTGTGAGCTATGATGCTATGGCACCCTACTGGGGGCGATAAAGTGAGATTCTATCTCTACAAAAAAAAAAAAAAAATTATTAATTCCTGTGAACTTTGAGCTTACATGTCATTCCCTTTCTAATTTCTACAGTTGAGGCCTAATTTATTTATATTTAGATTTCTTATTATTCTATTTATGTCTGGCATTTCCCACCCTGAACTCTGCTTTACTTGTAAAAATATATACCATGTAGTATTTTCATTATTGCTATTTTTACATAGTCTGATTTTCTTAGCTTTAATTTTTGTTTGTTTTTTTTTTGAGACAGAGTCTCACTATGTCAGCCTGGGTAGAGTGCTTTGGTGTGACAGCTCACAGCGACCTCAAACTCTAGGGCTCAAGCGATTCTCTTGCCTCAGCCTCCCAAGTAGCTGGGACTACAGGTGCCTGCCACAGCGCCTGGCTATGTTTTAGGTTGCAGTTGTCATTGTTGTTTAGTTGGCCCTGGGTCAGGTTCGAACCCACCAGTTTTGGTGCATGTAGCCAATGCTATAACCACTGTGCTACAAACACCAAGCCTTAGCTTCAATATTTTTTTGACCTGAGAGTAGCTTTTTAAAATATTAATAGGCTAATGTCAGGTGCAGTGGCTCATGCCTATACTCTTAGCACTCTGGGAGGCCAAGGTGGGTGGATTGCCTGAGCTCACAGGTTCCAGACCAGCCTGAGTCAGAGTAAGACCCAGTCTCTAAAAATATCCAAGTACCTGTAGTCCCAGCTACTCAAGAGGCTAAGGCAAGAGAATCCCTTGAGCCCAAGAGTTTGACGTCGTCGTGAGCTATGACACCACGACACTACCAAGGGCCTTTAAGTGAGACTCTGTCTCAAAAAAATAAAAAATAAATAAATATATATACATATATATATATATATATATATATGAGCAGTTTTACTTTTATAGGAAATTGAGCAGATAGCACAAAGGGTTCCCATATACCCTCTCTTTCCTTACTCGAAGATTCACCTATTATTAATATCTTGCATTAGCATGGCACATTTATTACAATTGATGAAGCAGTATCAATAGATCTTTATTAACTAAAGGTTCAGGTTAAGATTTATTCTTAGTATTGTATAGTTTTTTACAAATGCATAATGAGTTATAGTCACCATTACAGTCTCATATAGGATAGTTTCACTCCCCTAAAAATTTTCTTTTTTTTTTTTTTTTTTGAGACAGAGACTCATAGCTGTCCCCCTGGGCAGAGTGCCGTGGCATTACAGCTCACAGCAACCTCCAACTCCTGGGCTCAAGCGAGTCTCCTGCCTCTGCCTCCCAAGTAGCTGGGACCACAGGCGCCCGCCACAACGCCTGGCTATTTTTTGGTTGCAGCCGTCATTGTTGTTTGGCGGGTCCTGGCTGGGGATTCGAACCCGCCACCTTAGGTGTACGTGGCTGGCGCCTTAGCCGGTTGAGCTATAGGCGCCGAGCCAAAATTTTCTATATTCCAGCTACTCATTCTACCTTCCTTCCTGGAAACCACTGATCTTTTTATTGTTTTTATAGTTTGGCTTTTCTGGAATGTCATAAGTTAGATTCGTACAGCATATGCTAATTTATGACTGAGTTCTTTCACTATGTAAAAAATTAGTCAGGCATGGTAGTCTCAAATTCTCAGGAGGCTGAAACAGGTAAATCGCTTGAGCCCAGGAATTCACAATTACAGTGAGCTATGATTAGGCCACTGTACTCCACGCTAGGCAATAGATCAAGACCCTGTCTCTTAAAAAAAAAAAAAAATCTAATAATCTCTTCCTTGAATTAGGGTGTGTAGACCATTTTTATCCAGTGATGTGGTTGAATACTTACATGTACGCTCAGTATTCCCCTCATGATATGGAGAATAAATCCTCCCATTTATACTTTGTTCCTCTTTTTCTACCTTCCTATGGAATAATTACTTTTTATTATTCAGGTTTATCTTAATGACTTTTGAACTATACCTATTTTATATTTTTAGCAGTCAATTTCGGGATTTTTTAAAACTCATTATAGACTACTTTTGCATTAGTCTGTGATAGATTAGGAGAGAAAAACTGGGCGGCACATGTGGCTCAGTGAGTAGGGTGCCCATATACTGAGGGTGGCGGGTTCAAACCTGGCCCTGGCCAAACTGCAACCAGAAAATAGCTGGGCATTGTGCAGGCTCCTGTAGTCCCAGCTACTTGGGAGGCTAAAGCAAGAGAATCGCCTAAGCCCAAGAGCTGGAGGTTGCTGTGAGCTGTGATGCCACAGCACTCTACCCAGGGCAACATAGTGAGACTCTGTCTCAAATAAATAAATATTTTTAAAAAATGTACAGATGAAGCTTTGTATTAAATGTTTTATTTGGAAAGACAGAATTGCCATGTGGTGCATACATGTAGACAAATGGTCTTCAGTATGTCTGAAGAACAAATAAAAGGTTAGAATTTTTGTTTTTTTGGTTTGTTTTTTTGAGACTTAAAATCTCTGTTACCTAGGCTAGAATGCTGTAGCAGCAGCCTAATTCACTACAACCTCAAACTCTAGGTTTTAATGATACTTCTGCCTCAGCCTCTCGAGCAGCTGGGACTGCAGGTGCCCATCTCCATGCCTAGCTTATATTTCTATTTTTAATAGAGACAGGGTCTCAAACTCCTGAGCTCAAGGGATCCTCTGACCTCAGCCTCCCACAGTGTAGAGATTACAGGCATGAGCCACCACGCCTGGCTATTTTCTGAAAAAAAGACACTGGATATCCACATTCAAAATAATGAAGTTGGACCACATACCATATATTTAAAAAACTAAAATTGGATCAAAGACCTAAATAGAAGAGCAAAAACCACAAAACTCTGAGAAGAAAACATAGGGATAAATATGATCTAGGATTTGGCAATGGATTCTTAGATGTGATATCAAAAACAGGAGCAAAAAAGAAAAAAGAAATTGGTCTTCCTCAGCATGAAAAACTTTTGTGTAACAAATGACACCATCAAGAGAGCAAAAGGAGCT